TTGCGTAGCAAACTCTGACTTGGCAGGAAATATCCCTGTAAGCCTTTAGCAGTAATCAACAGCTTCCTTTAAAACAATGAGGACTTTGTTAGGTGAGAACAATACGCTGATACTTTTGCTCCCCTATGCGCTAGCTATACGTACTTATGGGGCTATTCTTCACACTGCTCAGAGAGGTACCTGAGTAATTCCTACTAGTAATTGGCTGTATCCCTTGCATACTGGTGAAAAACAGACACCCCCCCTTGCTCCTCATGAATGTTCGCCAGCAATGTACAAGTAGCAGGAGTTTGTTCTATATAGTACATTAGGAATAATCCACTAACTAAATTAAGCAACAAGCCCATGTGAGTGATGTGTAGGAGTCATGTCTAATAGTATTTTAGCAGTGTTTTCAACCACTCGTTAGCTAAAGTGGATTATATGTAATTTACACCCCTGAATTTGCACAGTTGGCTTTAATGAGCCTTTTGGTGCACTGATGGATGGATAACTTTGGCAGTCCCCCAACTAAATCTTTATGGATGCTAAGGTTTTTAAGGGCCTGGTACTTCAGGTGGCTGTGACCGGACTTGCCTTCTTGCTTGACAGCACTCTCAGATTTGAGAGCGAATTGCAGGAGACGCAGCAAGGGATGTGAAAGGAGACCCAGTATTCCATCTACACAGGAACATTGATTTAAAGCTGCCCACTGATAGCAGTAGGCCTTCTGAACGGCTGTGGAAAATGGTGTAACTATTCCTATATTTAACCCTGGTCTAGGGTACCCTGATGTTATTAGAGGCCAGTTTCCTAGTGCTGACTCGGAAGTCTCCCCGCCCCCCAAGAAGCTGATGTGAGGCGTGGGGACTGTTAATCTAACGCCTTCATCTTTTATTCATGTTCATTTAGTTTAAATGTCAAGTTTTTTTTTAATCAGGCGCATTCTTCCATCCCTGTAAGCTGCCCTTTGAAGTAGACCAGCATTTTGAAATATACGTAGAATGAATGGCAGCAATTAGTATTCTGATGAAGCAGTGTCTAACAAGTTTCTTTGCCGAACACGTATCGAACGTGGCTTAATTACTTCTTGGGCCTGTGTTTAAACATCTAATGGTGATTTGCATAGCTTGAACTGTTAAGGCCCCAATTCATTTCTGTGAGCAGATGAGCAGCAGTGAAATTTTTTTTTATCCTTTGCAGAAGTGTGCGAGTACAGCAATCTGCACTTTGCTACTCTGTCCAGATGCTGTGTGACCTACCCTGGAATGAGGATAAATCTCTCTCTCTCTGGCTTTGTCCTTCACCTAATAAAGGGGCAGATTTTTTAGCCTCAGGGTAACTAACATATGTGAGCTGTCCTGAGGTTAAAAAACTTGGTAGTTCTTACTCAGTGGAGCAAACTAGGGGCATAGTGTTGCCCTCAGCTAGTTTTCCTCATGGTAAAAGTAAAGTGTCTTGTCATCAATATTTACCTCAGGGTAGGTCACCTTGCTTAGGTTTAACCCAAGGTAAAAAACCCACACCCCTTGGAGTAAGATGACGGCAGAAACAAAAGTCCATGTAGCGCAGGCCTGGTTTGAGGCCTTAGGCCTAGCTAACAATGGACAAAACTTGGCTAATATAAAGCAAAGCTAAGCTGTGAGCAAGAGGAGGCTTCTGCTCACAGAACTTGGCTTGGCTTCAGATTAGGCCTGTTCTACATGGACTTTTGTTTCAGGCCCTCATCTTACTCTACCCCTTTGTGCTTATCTGGTTATGAGGGCACGGGGCTTTGCCTTTTAAATGTATTGAGAGCCTGCCGCGGTAGTTACCAGCTTGGGCTTGAACATTAGAGCTTCCAGTGCTTTGCAGCAGTAGTGTAGTTATGTGTAGACGAGGCCTCGGCCATTAGTGCCATTAGCTCAGGATGCTTTTCAGGAAGGGGGAAAAAAAGTCTTGTCCAATGCTAAGAACTCTACTCAAATTCATCTGGCTGAAAGGGAGTTCCCTGAGGTTAGCCATGGCTTGCAGCTGAGCCATATTAAGTAGCTTCACCCGTTGTCCCGTCGTTTTCTTTTTCTGGCTCGCTGGGCAAACTGGAGGCAGCTGTGCCGCCTGGGTGTCGGGGATTGCTGGCATTCTGAAATACGATTCTGCGAATGAGGCTGTCCCCCTTCCGCGTTAGTTCAGAGCCGCAAAGAACCAGCACTGCTTATAGGGAACGCAGAAAGACCAGGATGACAGGAATGCATGGATTCAAATCACATGTGGGAATCTGTCCTCCCACTTCTTGTGGTACCATATTTAAAACCCGAGACTTCTAGTCCTGTCGATGACCTTGAAAATAAATCTAAGCCGATGCACTGCTGCTTTAATCTGTCAGGATGCAGGCTCAAGACGCTAGCGCCAAAAGGTGTGAAATTCCCCCCTTCATTTCAGTGAGCGATCTGAGGCTTAATTATGGCTATTTATAAGCATTTCTGTGTCACTTGTTACCATATGGCTACTAGGACGCTAAGTATTTCACTGTGCATTAGGGATGTGAACGACTAGTTGACTATCTGATAAGCAAATGCTTATTGGCTAGTTGACTAGTTGCCCCCCCCCCCCATTTGCTACTTCTATCAGAGGCAGCAGGGGGGGGGGAGGGGAGGGAAGGGATGTGTGCTTCAAAGCGACAGCACCGTGTGGAGCCCAGGGCCAGACCCTGGGTTCTCTGTGGCACTGCTGCTTTGAAAAGCCGCATGCAGCCCAGGTGGGGTGTTCCCAGACTGCATGCAGTGTTTAAAAGCAGCAGCGCCGCATGGATCCTGGAGTCAGTGGGGGAGTCCCAGCTGACCCCGGGCTCCATCTGGCGCTACCTCTTTGAAATGCCGCGGGGGCAGGGGTCAGTGGGATGTGTCTCCTGCTGGCCCTGTGCTCCCCTCAGGGCTTTTGCCTTTGAAGTGTAGCAACAGCCCTGGTGCTGTTGCTACACTTCAAAGGCAGAAGCGCCCTTATTGACAAATCGAATAGTCGATACAAATTGCATCACCTATTCAATTAGCCAAATCGGAATTTTACATCCCTTCTGTGGATAGTGAAACCAGAAATCTCCAGCTACCGAAATGTTCATTCACTCAAACATTTCACAGAACAGCTGAACAAGAAACTTAAAACTAGTCTAGCTAGAGAACTCAAACAGGCGCTAGTCTGCACTGTCCAGGAGGTAGGACAGGTCTCTTGTAGCTAACTACTATTAAGTCAGGATCATGCACATAGTTCGGTGTTCGAATTCTCCCCTTCATTGGGCAACTGAGCTGCTGTCTAGAGTTGTCCGCAGTTGGCGTCAGAATGGAGTCTGCCTTTGCCACCAGCTAACCCCATAACTTTTCCAGAATGCAGCAGCTGGTTTACTTAGCAATACTGACCTCGGGGATTGCATCAGCAACGTGTTGTGCTCCCTGTTCTAGCTCCTCAAAGACGACAGCAGCCAATTAAAGGTCTCAGCCCTGGTATCAGAGCTCTCTATGGGAATGGACCTAGCTACCTGAGATCACGCCACCTTTCCCGCCAGGACTTCTGTGTTCCCCTGGGACTCTGTCACACAACCGGCAAGGGGAGCCTCAGGAGTGCCACAGACAGAAGGTTGATAGGAGCTGGGCTTAGGCCAGCAAGCTTCCTCCTCCAGGAGGAGAGGCCGTAAGTCTTGCTGCTTTCCGAGCTCAAGGGAAAATGTTCAACTAGTACTTAGTTTTAGAGCTGAGCACTAACTCGTGCTTTTTACCTCAGTGGTTGACCCCAAAAATCCAGAGTGGGGGGTGGAAACCATGCGTGTTTTGAGCTAAAAATAGCTTTCTTTTTCCTTGCCAAAATGGAACTTTGAAAGAATTGTATTTGGGTCAGTTTGAACTGAAATGTTGATTTGAAACGAACAGTTTTGATGGTTCCATTTTTTTTTCTCCCGGGGTACGTCTAGGAGAGATCCCGTCGACAAAGCTTCTGTCAACAAAGAGCGTCTAGACTACATCCAGTTCTGTCGACAAAGCAAGCTGCTTTGTCGACATGACAGTGTAGATGCAAAGGACAGTGTAGATGCACTAATGTCTTCTGTCGAGAGAACTCTGTCGACAAAAGGCATTATTCCTCGTAGAATGAGGTTTACAGCCGTCGACAAAACTGCTGAGTTCTCTTGACGTTATGTCGACAGAACTCAGCGGCAGTGTAGTATTGGCAGGTATAGTATAGTAGGTATAGTATATTGGCAGGTACAGTATTGTCAACAAAAGTCCACTTTTGTCGACAAAACCCTGTAGTCTAGACACACCCCCAGCGTTTTGGATGCAATACACGCTTTTTCAATGATGTTGGTATTTTTTGCCAGCTGTTTAACTTCACTTCACTGCGTTCACACTCAGACTTGCCTGACCACTCAAACACTCTCCAAAGACACTCAGGCTGTCTGTCTTAGATTGGGAAGGAAGAGAAGATGATCTGAGTGTCTCCTTAAATATAAAGCACTGTACTTCAAACACGAAGAGAAATCAAGCTGCTGTAACAGGTGCTGAGAAGAGACTGGGTTGGGCAAGGTGTGGAGGTAACAGTGATGTTTGAAGACTCTAAGTGGGGCTAATCTTGCAGCCTTATATTTTGAAAGATGCTCTGGCAGTCACCCATCAAGAGTGGTTTGCTTGGAAGCACCATGATAATCACTGGTCTACAGAAGAATCCACCTGATGCGTCAAAATGGCTTTCCTACAACACACAGCTGTATTGTTGTGGTCTGTCTAAAGGGAAGTCTCTTGGTGTCCTTGACGCCTTTTTTCCCCCAGAGCCCAGTAAACAAAGTTCAGGCTGATTTGTGACTTTTGCAATAGTTTTTAGTTTTTAAACAAATCTGTGCCTTCAAAGAAGTGTCCCGGGTATGGATGGAGCACTAACAAACTCCTTTGGGTGAGCAACGCTGACTCCCTTCAGACTGTTCCCTGGGATTTGCTTGCCTGTGTTAAAGGCTCTGGCTGATTGAATTATTTCATTTATTTGTCTTTTTCTCTTTCAAGGTCCACTTTGACCAGTTTAAAGAAGCACTGATCCTTATCTTATCTCGGACCTTATCCAATGAGGAAGATTTCCAAGAACCAGGTAACGTTTCTCTTAATGTGTTTGACGAAACCTTTTCTATGGTGGAGAAAAGAGGATCCCAGCAGCATTCGTACAGAGACGTGGACACACGTGCTGGGGCTGACTAAAACAGAGGCATTTCTCGTGTTCCTTTGGCAGAACTTCCTTTCTGAAAACCTGTTAGAAGCTGCTGGAAGTGGGAGAGGGGAGAATTCTGGTCGATGGCAGCAAATCGCTTTGGTTTTATGTGTGTTTTACTGGGTGCTTATAGTCCACGTCTGACCACGGTCTGAATGCCTGGACAGACGTGAGGAGTTCTAGAATCCCTGTCTCACAGAACTCAGCAAGAAATGATTGGCTGGAAGGGACTGTGAGGTCATCTAGCCCTGCCCACAATGCCATGGCAGGACCAAGTCTACCTATACCATCCCTGACAGGTGTTGGTCTGACCTGGTCTTAGAAAGCTCCACTGATGGGGACACCACAACCTCCCATAGTGACGTCTTGTTGTATATGTCCCAGTGTGGTAGGAGCCTCACGCAAACAAGTACACGCCCTGATGAATCCTTAGCTGAATCCATAAATTAAGTTTTACCTTCCAAACTCCTGGAACTTCAGAGAAATACTTAACATTGTTGTGGAGAGACAGTGTGAAAACTAGCACTCGCTGGGTGAAATGAGACCTGCAGAGCTGTGTACTGCTCTCCTCTTCTTTGAGTGAGGCCAGGTAGATGGTTAAAGTTACTTCATTTAATTAGAGAGAGGGGATGATCGTGTGGCTTAGGCGCTGGACTGGGCCTTGGGAGATGTGGATCCAAGTCAGGTAATGCCTCTGTAGTTTGAGTTCTCAGTTGTGGAATGGGGAAACTGCCTTTTCCCTTTCATTTCTGTCCCTTCTGTTTAGAGCATTGGCTCATCAGGGCAGGGTGGAATGGGGAAACTGCCTTTTCCCTTTCGTTTCTGTCTCTTCTGTTTAGAGCATTGGCTCGTCAGGGCAGGATCTTCAAACCAAAGAACCCAGTCGGGTTCTGATCGTCATTTCAGCTTTTACAGGCTACAGTAATGTTGACACTGATCATGTGAGATTTTTATGACCGAATATAAGAGCCTGGCTCATTTCACATGGCAAACAGAGGCACTTCACATCTCCCCCTCCTTCCTCCCCCCCAAAGTGAGCCAGCTCGTTGCAATATTTGAGTGATCCTAAAGAGGGTTGGGGGAGGGAGGGATGGCAGGCCTGGCCAGCAGTAATGGAGACCATGAAGATGGTTCACTTACATAGGATGCCAGCATGTAATGACGCTCTCTTCTGTCTGCTCTCTGCTGACCTTTAACCCAAGTTTTGTAATTTCAGTTTGATAAAATCTCGGTTCATTGTCTAGTCCTTCTCGGACGTCTGAAAGGAAATGACCATGGGTGCTCTGAAAAGCTGAGATTAACTTTTACAATGAGCAACAAAAATTGTCACTTTTGGCGTCTGACTTGACTCTGCTCTTGACTTTTCCAACTTCTGTGAGGATCCCTCCCGAGGATTATGCCCTAGGCTCGACTGAGGACTGTTTTGCGTGGTCTGGTTGCAGCAAGTGTGCAAACGCAGGCTGCAGCTCCATATGGTGGCTCGTAGCTATGCACCTCACTGTTGCAGAGATACTTATCTTTGCTCCCCAGAAGAGTGTTGCTGGTTGTAGTATCTGAGTAACTAATCTAGTGAGCACAAGAAAGGAATCCCCCACAGTGCCTGGCTTAATGCTTTCTGAAGAACAAGTTGTACTCTGCGGTTTTTCTTAGCCTTAAATGGCTCCTTTTGAGTGTCAGAAATGTGACTAGCTTTCAGTTTGTCCCCTCTTCGTTGGAAGGAAGGCGTCTCATTGCTATGGAGATGCTAGGACCGCATATAATAATTGGCTTGCCAGGGCAACAGTGATTGCCAGCTAACTTCTGGTGTGCGCTAGATATCTCCCAGACGCTAAGGTGGTAGTTTTGACTCCCTTGCATTTTACACCCGCTGGTGAAAGATGTAAAAAAAGGGGCATATAAAAGATGTAAAAGAGTGGGACCTTGTTAGTTTCTTAGCATTGCAGTAGCACAGTGACTTGTTCAGTTGGACTTGCAGGGCAACAGTGATTGCCAGCTAACTTCTGGTGTGCGCTAGATATCTCCCAGACGCTAAGGTGGTAGTTTTGACTCCCTTGCATTTTACACCCGCTGGTGAAAGATGTAAAAAAAGGGGCATATAAAAGATGTAAAAGAGTGGGACCTTGTTAGTTTCTTAGCATTGCAGTAGCACAGTGACTTGTTCAGTTGGACTTGCCAACCCTCTACTTCTTTGGGCAAGTTCTTCTTTCAACACATGGATCCATCTGTCAGGTCCTGGATGACTTGCTTCCTAGGCCAGGAGGGATAAGGGGCGGCCTGATGGTAAGGTGGAAGGGCGGGTTCCCACGTGGCCTAGGGGATAGGGCGCTCGCAGTTTCAGTTCTAGAATGGAATAGGCACTCTAAAATTTTCCTCAATTCTTAGTGGCTGGCTAAAGAGCAGCTTTATAGGCCTGGTAGAGACTCGTTCTGCCTCTCCTGTAAAGTTAGTGGCCAGTGGAGGGAGATGAGGTGGAAAACGGTAACTGGCAACAGAAAAAAAAAAATTCCAGGATCCCACGTGGTTAGCTGGGAAGTTTGGACCCACTGAGGCAGGGCCAGCAGACTGAGAGAGAAGACATGTATCCCTGTGTAAGGGGGTATTTGTTCCCTAGTAAATTAAACATCCGCCCGTTGAGAGGTTAAGCTTGTTTGTGAAGAGTTGTAAGAGATAATGCCCAACAACAATGACGAGCCAGGCTGGGATAGCGCTTCTAAAGGCTGAAACGCAGCAGGAGAAATCCGGAGCCGCTGCCTTTGGGAGGGCTGGGGCCCTGTCACACACTGAAGGGAATTCTGTAAGAACTTGAAGCAAACATGAGGCTTCCAGGCTGCTGCTGCATCTCTGGTTACGAAGTGTGACCACGCAGGCCATTGGATGGCCCATTTCATAGAATCAGAATCCTAGAATACTAGGACTGGAAGGGACCTCGAGAGGTCGAGTCCAGTCCCCTGCCCCCATGACAGGACCAAATACTGTCTAGACCATCCCTGATAGACATTTATCTAACCTACTCTTAAATATCTCTAGAAATGGAGATTCCACAACCTCCCTGGGCAATTTATTCCAGTGTTTGACTAGGAAAAAGTTCCTGTCAGAGTTCCTAATGTCCAACCTAAATCTCCCTTGCTGCAGTTTAAGCCCATTGCTTCTTGTTCTATCCCCATAGGCCAAGATGAACAAGTTTTCTCCCTCCTCCTTATGGCACCCTTTTAGATACCTGAAAACTGCTATCATGTTCCCCCTCAATCTTCTCTTTTCTAAACTAAACAAACCTAATTCCTTCAGCCTTCCCTCATAGGTCATGTTCTCTAGACCTGTGCCCAGAACTGGACACAATACTCCAACCGAGGCCTAACCAGCGCAGAGTAGAACAGAAGAATGACTTCTCATGTCTTGCTCACAACACTCCTGTTAATGCATCCCAGAATCATGTTGGCTTTTTTTGCAACAGCATCACACTGCTGACTCATATTGAGCTTGTGGTCCACTATCACCCCCAGATCCCTTTCTGCCATACTCCTTCCTAGACAGTCGCTTCCCATTCTGTATGTGTGAAACTGATTGTTCCTTCCTAAGCGGAGCACTGTGCATTTGTCTTTATTAAACTTCATCCTGTTCATCTCAGACCATTTCTCCAATTTGTCCAGATCATTTTGAATTATGACCCTATTTATTGACATAGTGGCCAAAATTTGTCCAGATCATTTTGAATTATGATCCTATTTATTGACATAGTGGCCACGTTAGTGGGACAAGGTCTGTCAGTGCATTGTAAGCCCATGGACCTGAGAGCTGAAGTCTTCATAGCTTTCATTAAAACAGATAACCTGCTAAACAGACTGAAGATTTTTGGGGAAACAAATTGGATTAATTGGTCTTCCTGAGGGAAAATGCCTGGACTGCTTTTTAAGGTCTGCGAGTTCCATATGTATCATTGAAACACAGCTGACAGTCCAGTATGCTCTGAAATCATGCATAGAGCAGAAGAAATGCTGAGCATGTTATAGGAAGAGAAATCCTATTTACTGCAGCTGCTGTCCAAGATAGAAGTCTGACAACTGCAGAATATATTCCAGTTATTTTCAGAAGAGCAGAGAGTTCTGTTCTACCCCGTTCTGAGGGTGACTTGGGAAAATCCCTTTCTATAAGAGAAGTGTCTGTCCGAAGCATCTCTGTTTTTCTCAGCCACGTTCCAGGTCGGCCATTTGGCACAAAAATGTCTGGACAATTTAAGTGAAGCTCAAGGGGGCTGACAATGCAGAGATGTAATGCTTCAGACCGCTCATTGACTGTTAGCCATTCTCCTTTCTTTGTTTCAGCCTGTCATCTCAAGCCCTTGGCTACGCAGGAAGTGGATTATGGAGCAGTGGTTGGTTTCTACGCTCTGCATCCTCCCCAGAAAGTTGCATGGCTCGGAGGAACCGTTGTAAATGTCCAGACCTTTGTAGGATTAGGTGTGCGATCTGAGGAATGCTAAACAGAATCTGGAGAGCCCTCCAGCTGTCTATCATAGACTTAAATGGGGATTTTTTTTCAGGTGCTTAGCCCTTGACTTCAGCTGAAGTTCTGGTGCTGATCAACTGAAAATTGGGCCTTTAGAATCTGTAGTTGGCACCTCCCTTTGTTATATTACATCTGTATGTAAATCATGTAATCCTTTCCCTTCCATGGGGGACAGCATGAAAGCTAGGAAAGAAGAGCTGGATCAACAAGGGGATAACATGAATTCCAGGAAAAATGCTGGACTCTTCTCCTAGATCTTACATTTCTGATCAACTTCTCATCTAGAGGGATCGGTAGTAAAGTGTAATTTTAAGCAGAGAATTGTGTGGTTCGGAAGAAGAAAAAAGAAACACAACCCCCTCCCCCCAACCTCATAAAAT